GGGGGGGGGGGGGAGTAAAAAGCAATACTTTCGTTAGAAATATTGTAATAAGAAAACAAGGGTTGATTACATTGGTATGAATGGAATGCCCAGACGTGGGTTCAAGAATCCCTTCGAGCTCCATTTCCAGGTGGAGTTTATGCTCGCCGTCTCCGGCCTTCGAGTATCATGGAAATCTTGATGTTTTAGCCAAAGGCTTTGGAAAGATGTCCGCTTTCGGGAAATTGTACGATTCAAGGGGGTAGAAGTGTGGTGAGATTCCTTGGCCAATGTTACTTTGTTTAGCTTGTCCTGAAGTAGGGAGCTTATGCCCATGAACTTACATTTATAGAGAATGATCAAAGTGTTTCAGCCTTTCATCTTGACTACGGAACATACTCTGGTCTGTTACAGCCAATTGGTCTTGGAAAGATTCCCACAAACTGATCACGATGAGAAAACACTCGAGGTTTGACAAATTCCTCGGTTGCTACGGGCAAACAAATAGGAGATGGAGTAAAGACTGGTGGGTCAAGGCGCTGAACAGATCAAACGGCCGAGTCATTTAGAGGCACCAAACCATGTTGGCTTATAGTGTGTTGGGGACCTGTCTCTTTCTTTAGTTTAAAAAAGAGCCGTGAACTACAACAAGCATCCAGACCTCCTAAGCCGTAAGGTTAGGCCTCTTGATATCTCTCAGTACATCAAAAGAACAAACAAAAGCAAGGTTTGCAATGTCTTCCCTCTCTCTTTTGATGAGACCAACCAAAATAACCAAACACGAACATAACTGAACCAAAATCCAAACTGAAACCTGAAATAACCGCCTAGCTACGACCGTAGACCACAACTATCAGCCCCACAAACTAAAGCCAAAACAGATAGTTCTATATTTGTTCGATGCTATCTAAAGTAGAAGGATCACAAACAACAACGCCTTAATTCCAAATTTATTTGGGGTTGGCCGAAGGATCACATTCATCAAGAACATAAAACAACACTATTCTGTTTTTTTCTCTCCACTAAACAGGCTTTCACGATTAAGGCGATGATGATGTTGAAACGGGCTTTTACGATTCTACTCAAAAAACAAAATCACATCGTCTCAAAAGTTAAAACCTTGGATGCCTCAAGCTCATAGTACCAAAGCTAACGCATTTTATTGACCAATGAAAGACCAAGCAACACGAAAACCACAGTTGTTGTCCATACGAATCAAATTATAGCAACCTTTCTACGCACAACATATGATCGATCGATGCATAAATTCAGAGCAATTCACTATTTCTCGGACACAACTGAGTACCAGCTACTCTGCCTAATGCCAAGTATCAAACAAGCTCAAAGATACTTTACCATGGAATTCAGACAACCTCGTTAGTGACCAGTCAGAATGCTGTCATCTCTCTCTTATCTCTGGATATTGAGCATGGCTTTGGCTTCAGTCTGCTGCTCCACCAAATCTTCACTGGCGTACTTACTCAGCAACTCCATCTTCTTCTTCTCCAACACCATCCTCTCGATCTCCTTCTCGTCCGGCAATGGAACATGAACCACGAACTCACTCTGCTTCTCCTTCTCCTCTCTCTCCCTCTCTCTCCTCCTCTCTTCCTCCACCACTTCCTCCTCCTCCTCGAACAACACTTCCTTCGCCACGGCCGCACCCACGCTCACAACCTCCGTCGCTCCCTTCCTCGCTTCCCTCCTCACCTCCTCCACTCTCCTCCACTCATCCACCGCTCTCCGCCTCATCTCCTCCTCCGCCTTCTTCTCTAACTTCTCCAGTATCCCATCTTCATCATCTCTATACCCATAATAGCTCGCGTCGATCCTCTTGTATATATCGTACCTCGTTCTCCGCTTCCTCAGCTCTGGCGGCTTGTCGAATAGCTCCCTCACTCCGGGAAGCTTTTTCGCCGCGCCGAAATACCGATACCCAGGCCCACGGCCGCTAGGGTTCGGGACGTCGACGATGTTCCCTTCGAGGTCCGTCATCTTCGGCGCGTGTTTCGTGTAATTCGGACCTCCAAGCTCAACGATGCGTCGCTCCCAATGCGATTTCTCGCGTATGAGCTTGTTGATCTCGTCGTTCAGATCCCTGAGCCGGTGCTCTCCCAGCCCTTCGTTCTGGATCTCGGCGACTTTCCGACCGATCTCTCGCATGATCTGTTGCCTCCACTTGTCGGCCTCAGCCAGATCGCGACACTCCGAGGCCAGGTACGGACGCCGCTCCTTGGGCTTCTTCTTCTCCGACTCTTTCATGGTGATGAATCTGTTGAGCATCGACTGAGCTTTTTCCTCGTTTCGCGCCATTTTTGCAAGCCGGAGATACGATTACGCAGGCAAATCTCAACCGGGAACAGGAATCCGACTGCGTTGTTCGTAGGTGCTGCTTAAACCCTAGCACATATGAGGAGGAGAGGATGGAATCGAAATAATTGTTTTTATTTCAACTTATTTATCTATAGACGGTGACAATTAATAAATATTCGGGCTTCTTACAGCCCAACTTTCCAAGCCCACAACAGATAGATATAGAGCTTTATTCAAGCTTCAACCCAATTGTTTATTAATTTTTTTTTAATTTTTATTGGAACATTGAAAACACAAAACCAACCCCTTTTCTTTTTAGAAGATCTGATTAAAACTTTAACTCTCTCTTATGTTTTATGAAATTCTTAAATAAATTTTTACATTTTATACATACATTAAAAACAACTATAATATTATTCTTTTATCCTCAATTTTAAAATATATTCAAATAATACATTTTTCACCGCCCCATCCCCTACATCTTTCCATAAATTGCAATGCTAAATTTTTTTTCATCTACAGTAGTAAAATCTATATCTATCATCATATCTATAAAAATACAGTTTGAATCAGCGGGAGAACGACACGTGTCCAACTTCTTTTGAATGTTGCAGAGAAATTACTAAATAAATAAATATAAAAAAGGTTTGAGATGTGAGAATATTAATTGGTGCGTATTTTCAAGGTAATTTTTTTATATAATAAATAAATAGATACATCTTATCAAAGTACCGAAACACGACATATGTCTAACTTTTTTTTAATTAAACTTTTAATTTTTCAAAGATATAAGTGTAATTAATTAAAAATAGGTAGAAATAAATGCAAAAAAAAAGAGGTGAGAATATTAATTCGTAACATGTTTTCAAGATAATTTTTTTGTGTATATATTTAATGCATACATTGATACAGCTAAAATATTACGATATGTTCACATGTATGTTGGCCAAATTCAATTAATTTAGTGTCATTCAATTTATGTATTATTTATCACCAAAATCGACATGTTGAGGGGATGTAGGTTAATGCAAATGAAGGGGTAGATACATCTCTTTTCTTTATTTTTCTTTTTTAAAAATAAAAAGAAAACTAAGGTCGTGTTCTCCTTAACTATATATAAAAACCGTTACTTTGAAGTTCTATTATTTTTGTTCACGGATTTTGTCTTGGCATGAGGTGAAACACATGGTCATGTTCTCCTGAACTAATCCAAAACTAAAGCTACAATTTTTTTTTCCATCTGTTTCAGATCTTGGTTCATCTTTTTGGGGAATGGCTTTGATCTTGGATCTACAAATCTCCTTACAGCAAAGATAGGAATTGGTTGTTTGGCTTTTGCTCTATTTGTCGTCCTTTTCATCGCCAGAAACGTAAGAATAATATCTCTCCGTTGGTATTTCTCTTTATTCTCTTTAATAATTTAATAATATAAAAAATATAGTGAGATCCGATTTTATATTTCTACAGTTGACACTTCGAGAACTTTGTATTAGTGAGTATTTAGGATTCATAATTTTCTTTATCATTATCTAGGTTTTACAACAGACAAACCACTGTTAAAATCCTTAGTTATATCATTATGTTTATCGGTAAGTAACTAAGTCATGTTTTCCTGATCTCATATTTGAGTTTCATCATTTGTATGGAGGGTTGGTAACATTCAAGCAGAATATTACAAGAGTGATGAACAATTATTCTCAGTTTATGGTATGCGATGGAGCCAGAAACGTTGAGTTGGGGACGACGAAGTCAGGAATGTCGAGTTAGAGACACAGGAACTTGGACCGAAGGAGGAGATGATAGTTGTTAAAAATTGGGGGAAAAATAGATGATTGTCGAAAAAGATGGGGTAAGAGTAAAAATTAGGGTTAGATTAGTTAGTCTTTTAAAATCGATTTAATTTTATGTTGAACCGTGATAATTAAATATGCCCGTTGATCGGATAAATGTGACATCTACGTGTGAAAGACAGAACAAAATAATTAGGCCATGTCAGATTAATTAAAAAAAATGAACACGGGTATTAATTTTAAAGAAATTTAAAAATTAGGGCTTTATTTGTCAAATTTTTAATTGAGAATTTTTTATGGAATACTAGAAGAGACCCGCGCGATGCGCGGGTTATTATTTTTTATATATTAATTAATTTTTGTATAAAATTGATCATATAAATATTGAAAAAATAATATAAATTATTTATTTAATATAAAAAAATTACACCAGTACTATTAAAATATTATAAAATTAGTATTATTTATTATATAAAATCATCATTATTTTATTATGTAAAAGGATATATGAATTTGCTAGATGCGCATCATCAATGTGTTTGCTAGATATGTACACTTATATAATCTCTATTTGTCTTCCAAGATATCCATATATATAATATATATATTAATTAAATTATTTTTCGTTTTGATATTCCATATTTTTATTTGATTTATTAATTAACTCTATTTTACTATCTACTATTTGATATTTGTATCTAATCAATGCATAAATTTAGTTTTGTTGGATTTTATTTTGGTAGTCGGTTAATTATTTGATTATATATGGTTATTTATTTTTAGGGTTTTATATAGTTACGTCAGGTTTGACAATATATTTTATCAAAAAAAAAGAATAAACTATAAACGCATTATATTATTATGTAACGACAACTTAGTTTTATATAGGAAATATGTAAAATCCTAAACACCAATTGATTGGTAAGAAAACTTTCTTCCGGTCTTCCATTTATACGCATCCTCCTTCCGGTCTTGTGTCGGGTCGAGGAGATCATTATGTTATTGTATTAAAAAATCCTTTCTACATATGTGTTGAATAGATTTGTCAACAGTTTGTTTCCAGTATCTTTATTAATAAACATTGTGTTCTTCTATCGCTTACAAATAGTTATAAAATAATAACAAATTGAATAAAAATATTATTCTTAAATAGTGTAGTAGATAGTTGTTTTAAAAATGATTTGTATACCTCATATGGAAATTTTTGATGAATTTTAATTATGTATCTATATAAATTTATGCAGATAATGATATGTTTGGAATGATAAAACACATGATTCTTAAAAAATGTTATTTAATTTATGTAATATTTATATTATTTTATATATGAATATATTAGAAATCTATATTTTATATGATTTTAATGATTATCATCGATAAATTTTGGGTTTTTAATACAAAACATCTTTATTAAAATTTTATGAAATTATTGCTATATTTTAGATAAAAATTATTGAAAACTTTGTTAGAAACTAAGTCCAAAAATATTTTTAAATTTATATATATTTCATTTTAAACATTGGTCAAAGAACTTTAAAGAACTTGCAAGACAGGTTAACCCGATAAGAAAACCGATATTAAACGGGGAAAATATCAATCTTGAAGTAATTGAACATCTTCTAAAACGCTGAAGAGAGATCAATGTAGCCTTTATACATCTTGAGATTGATTTTCCTCAAGTAACGACTGTTTTTGGGTTGTTGTCGTTGTTGATTCTGGGTTTTTGTTTTTGTTCTTCTGATACATTTTTTTAGTTTAAATAAAAAGCAAGTCGAATAAAATTTAAATAATTTGTTTTAAAATTTGGTTCGTTTTTACCATACTGTTGGATTGATTTTAATGATGATAACTCATGAATCATGACGTAAAAAATTTAAAAACACATAATTATATATATTTCTCAATATGTAATTAAATATTTACGTTAAATTTTATTCAATTGACCTTACTTCATCATAATTCCTTCTTATTTATAGCAAATTTTATATAATCATCATCTTACTTCTTCTCATTTGAATAGTAAAACAGTGAAAATTATTTTAATTAGTGGGTTAATCACATATTTGCACAAACTCATATGATAAAAGTTCCAACAACAAACACATTTGAAAATCGCCAAATTTAATTAATTTGCATAACCTTTATTTCTAGAATCCTAATTTGGGTAGGTAACGACAATCTGAAATTTTGAGTTTCCGACTCGATCAATGAAGTATTCGAATATTCAACTCGTTGATTCAATGGATATGGATATCAATGGATATAGATATAGTTGTTAAATTTCTTACCTTGTACTATGTTAGTATTCCGAAAGTGTGTAGTTTTTTTTACAACCATTCGAGGTTACTGTCAGATCTAGATTGAAAACTTTGTTCTCGACACCGTTCAATCCAATCTCGTATTTTCCATTGATGCGTTGAAAGATCGTTATTGGTTCTCTCGTCGCCTTTGTATCCGACTATCATCATCGGACCATTGATTCATGCTAGACTCTTCTCAAAAAACGGTTCATATATAGTTTCTGAGTTTAAAATAATGATCATGAAAGATACTTATGATGATATTTGATTGATCTGGAACCCGAAACACGACATATGTCTAACTTTTTTTTAATTAAACTTTTAATTTTTCAAAGATATAAGTGTAATTAATTAAAAATAGGTAGAAATAAATGCAAAAAAAAAGAGGTGAGAATATTAATTCGTAACATGTTTTCAAGATAATTTTTTTGTGTATATATTTAATGCATACATTGATACAGCTAAAATATTACGATATGTTCACATGTATGTTGGCCAAATTCAATTAATTTAGTGTCATTCAATTTATGTATTATTTATCACCAAAATCGACATGTTGAGGGGATGTAGGTTAATGCAAATGAAGGGGTAGATACATCTCTTTTCTTTATTTTTCTTTTTTAAAAATAAAAAGAAAACTAAGGTCGTGTTCTCCTTAACTATATATAAAAACCGTTACTTTGAAGTTCTATTATTTTTGTTCACGGATTTTGTCTTGGCATGAGGTGAAACACATGGTCATGTTCTCCTGAACTAATCCAAAACTAAAGCTACAATTTTTTTTTCCATCTGTTTCAGATCTTGGTTCATCTTTTTGGGGAATGGCTTTGATCTTGGATCTACAAATCTCCTTACAGCAAAGATAGGAATTGGTTGTTTGGCTTTTGCTCTATTTGTCGTCCTTTTCATCGCCAGAAACGTAAGAATAATATCTCTCCGTTGGTATTTCTCTTTATTCTCTTTAATAATTTAATAATATAAAAAATATAGTGAGATCCGATTTTATATTTCTACAGTTGACACTTCGAGAACTTTG